ACAACTCCTTTACAAGAAATGTGCTGCTCATCCCCCAGCCACACCTGAGCAGAGGGAGCCTGACTGAATTATTCTATTTTCCCCACAGGCAGAAGGAAGCTCTAGTTGTTTATCTTCCATGCTCTGAAAATTCTACAAAAATACTCTGGCTAAGGCTGGAGGAATGGGGATGGGGAAGTTAACCAAAGGCTAACTTGCTCGAAAGACTCAGCTTTGTTGGCCATGTGTGCTTAAAGGGATTTTTCTGTCTTAGAGATTGTCTGGCTATGACAAAGGCTGCTGTCTGGAATCCTCACAGCGCCAATTGTCTAGCTCTTAATCCTGTTCGTGACGCCAATTGTAAAGCTAGGCGACCACGCTAGTTGTCATGGCTCTTTTACCTGCTGGTAATCCTGCACCGACTGGGCCAATGGTTGAGCTAGGGCTGGGTCTGGAGCTCCCAGACTCCTCAAGCCCATTCACAGACTGGGTCACAAACCCTTCACACGCCAGGCTGGGTCACCAGACCCCTTCATTCAGGTCTATAAGCTAGGCAACCAGCCACATGGTCCTTGAAAGCTGCAAGTCTGGAAAAACATGGCTGTGCAGGGCGGGCACCCGAGGCAGTAAAACACCAGCCAAAGCAGCGCCCCCTTGCAGGTGCACTTACTCCACACACACACACACACAATGCTTACCGAATGACCCTGAACCAGCTCCAAGGCAAGGGGAGCCTGACCAAACTGTTCCATTTTCCCAACAGAGATATACTTTGAGGTCATAATATGGTTGCTGTGAGTGAAGACAAGAATAGACTGTAGGTAAAAGTAAATATGTACCCAAGGGAGTTGCAGGGAAAATCAATCTTTTACATTAAACATCCTTTGGGTTCTTATTAAATAGAATTTCAGTGTCTCCCAATGCCTGGTTGAGTTCCACAGTTAGAACCACTGGATTAGGGCTGTGGGACATTTGAACAATCTTTTCTTCTCCTACCTGTTCACAAAAGCATTTTTTTATAGACCTAATTTTTACACATCTATTTTTTCACATCCATCCACATCTGTTTTTGAAATTTAGAGCAGAGGTACTTAAAGTTTCATTCGTGGACTAGTGCCAGTTGACAAATTGTTAATGGTTCACAATAAGTATAGAAGTTGAGTGTAAGCATTTAGAAGCTGTTTAGGAATTTGAAAAGTAATCATATCTGACAGATTTAATAATAAAAGTTGAGATTTGTATTTTATATGCTTTTTCATCTTAGTAATTTTTATTATATTTTATGGAAGTATTATTTCATGGCAAACTAGAAATTAAAATGAAAACACAAACTGGTCCTTCATCACAGAAGGTTCGAGAAGCACTACTCTAGATAAACTGGGTAACATAGTGGCTAAACGCATGGACTGAGAACCTTGCTCTGTGTGCTCAGCAGGGCCAGCCCTGAGATGGTCAGGGCTCCAAATGGTTAGAGCAGTCCTTTCTCTCATTGTGGCTTTTCCTGCCTTCATGAACTCCGTAGGTCTCTTCCTCTTACTCTGAGCTCTAGTGGCCCCAGTTTGGCAGTCATTGCTTTTTAATAGTTGTAAGTTGTTTGATTGTGAGAGAGGGTGATGCTGGGCACCATCTGTTCCACCATCTTGACTGTGGGTTTTTCAAAGATATCCTTTCTCAGGTTGAGATGGTCATGTGATTTTTGTCCTACATTGATTTTTACAGTGAACCAACCTTGCATTCCTGTGATAAATCTCATTCGGTATGAAATCCTTTTTATATGTTGCTGCATTAGGGTTGGTAGCATTTTGTTGATTTTTGCAATTATATTAGAAGATATTCATCTGTAATTTTCTTTTCTTGTGATATCTTTATCTGATTTTGGTTTTATACTGCCTTAGAGAAGGAGTTGCAAAGTATTCCCTTCTCTTCCATTTTTTGGTAAAGTATGTTAAGTCTACTTCAGTTTTAATAGCAGCAAAACACTTCAATCAGTGGATATAGTTGATTAATTCCTTGCAGCAACCCAGTGGTTGTCACTGGGCTAGATGCAGTAGGCTGGATGCTGGGTGTGTGTGTGGCTGAAGCCCTTGGACACTCCCCCACCCTGGCTTGGGAGCCTAGGGGTCTTCCAGTCCTAGGTTTATAGGTGTTCTTTGGTGGTGTTAGACTTTCACTGGTTAATATCAGAACTTTGTCTCTGATTAAGGGTTAAATGAGATAAGGTGTAAACACTTAGAACAGTAGCTGACACTTACGTGGTAAAGTGTTCAATAAGTGTTAACTTGACTGTTCTTTTTGTTATCCAACAGTACAATTATTGATAGATCTTGGACGTGACTGGAGCCATTGTGCACACAATAAGCACAAAATAGCCACTGGCCTTGTCTTCCACTCCAGCACCAAACCCCTCCCCCCTTGCCTTCAGGAGAAGCTTTGTGACTTAAACAGAAACACTTTTGCTCCAAGCAAGGGTACAGTTCTCCACCCTCATTGCATAGTTTCCACATTAGCATAATGCCCCTCCTTGATGGTATCAGCCAACCCTTGGCGCCCTATATAAGCTCTACCACCCCCACACCTGGCGCAGCTTTCCATTTTGAGGGCGGCCCTGGGCTGCCTGTCATTTTGAGTGCAGCCTAGCAGATTCTTTTCCTTTAATAAAGCTTGAACGGTACCTGGCGTCTCGGCTCACTTTCTTTCAAGTATCCTCATTTTTTTTCTCAAAATGTGTTGGTTATTAGTATACTGTATATTTGGCAGATGAAATCTGGACTAAATTCTTCAGTTTTCAAAAAAATGTATATGTGGAACTGATATTCTCTCAAATATCTAATCTTTCCATCCGGGATGATAGGTGTGTTTCAGTATCAGGATATTGAGGTGATGCTACAGTAACAACCCAAAAATCTGAACAGTGTAAAATAGCAAAGATTTACTTCTTACTCATGCCACAAGCCCACTGAGGGTTACTGAGGGTGCTGTGCTCTACTTTGCTCACAGAGATCTGTGCTTCATTTGGCAAGTAACTGCTGGCTCTTAAACTTTCCACCTAGAAATAAAACATACCCCTTCCACTCAAATTTCATAAATATGAGAAAGCAAGTCACATGACTATACCTACTGTCAAGGGCGGGAGAAAAACATAAATGTCCCTAAGGAATTTATCTCCATTGGTGCTTTTCCACTAGAAAGGCTCTTAGTCTTTTTTTTTTTTTTCTTTTTTTCATCATTTAAGGTTTACAGGACAGTTGCAAAAATGGTACAGAGTGTTCCTGGACACCCTTCACCCAGCTTCCTCTATCAAAACTAAGACAGTCACATTTGTACAATATTATTAACTAAAGTACAGACACAATTTCGATATCCCCAGTTTTTCCAGCAATGCCCTTGTTTTGTTTCAGGAACTAGTCCAGGATACCACAATGCATTTAGTCATCATGTCTCCTCAGTTTCCTCTAATTGTGACAGTTTTTCAGTCTTTCCATAACTTTAACACTTTTGAAGAATACTGGCCAAATGTTTTATAGAATGTCCCTCAATTTTGTTTTGTCTGCTATTTTTCATGAATAGACTGAGATTATGTATTTAAGGGGAAAATACAAGAGATGATGTACCCTTCTTGGTGCATCTTATCGGGGGCTCATGACATCAACTTATTACTGGAAATATTAATCTTTTTTTTATTGAATCCATAATTGATTATGCATATTTTGGGGGTTCAACGTTAATGTATGTTAATCAAATCAATATTATTAGCATATATATTATTACAAATTGTACTTATTCTTTATGTCCCTTATCCAATCTCTCATCTTCCCCCTCTCCCAGATCTGATAACCCTAGATTTCTTCTCTCCTTCTGAAAGAGTAATGGGCCCAGTGACAGCTGCAGTGTGCCTGGTTGTGGGAGGAGGGGTCAATGCCCGGCTCCATCTGTTTTTACATTCTAAGTTGTTGTTGTGGAGCAGTTGGGTGGGAGGGGGAGAATGGAAGGGGGAAGGAAATAGGATGGGAAAGGAGGGAGAGGGGGAACGTGGTTGAGGCCTGTGGCACCTGCCTCATTCCTGCAGGGGAGACCAGGAGGCTTCAAGTGGTGGCTTGGTTGTTGCTGGGCTGAATGCAGATGTCAAGGGGGTGTGGCCAAAGCCCTCAGCCCTCAGTGCCCTGGTTTGGGAGACCAGGGGGTTTCCAGTGGTGTTTCAGTGGTCATCACTGGTCTCGTTGCAGATGTCAGGGGTGGAGGGGTGTGTGGCCAAAGCTGCCTCAGCTAGGTAGCCTGGGGTGCTTCATGCAGCAACCCAGTGGTTGTCACTGGGCTAGATGCAGTAGGCTGGATGCTGGGTGTGTGTGTGGCTGAAGCCCTTGGACACTCCCCCACCCTGGCTTGGGAGCCTAGGGGTCTTCCAGTCCTAGGTTTATAGGTGTTCTTTGGTGGTGTTAGACTTTCACTGGTTAATATCAGAACTTTGTCTCTGATCTGTGGGTTTTTTGTTTTTTCTTTAAATTCTTTGTTGGATTATTCACTGTTCCCATCACTTAAACTCTGCACTGGAAATAATTTGTTGTCCTGGGGCCAGCCCGGTGGCTCACTCGGGAGAGTGCAGTGCTGGTAACACCAAGGCCCCGGGTTCGGATCCCATATAGGGATGGCCGGTTCGCTCACTGGCTGAGCGTGGTGCTGACAACACCAAATCAAGGCTTAAGATCCCCTTACCGGTCATCTTTAAAAAAATAAATAATAAAAAAAAAATAATAATTTGTTGTCCTTTTGTTATTTCTAAAATGGGGGAACTTCCTGTGGGAACCAGCACTTGAGCCCTGTGGTTGAGCTAAATTGCTTCTTTGTTGCTGATTCTCTGGGGAAGGCTTTTTGTGCAGCTCAGGTTTTAACTGTTGACTTTGTAAGCACTTCTGGGTTTTGTGAGGTCCAGTACACCTGGGTTGTGTGGAAACTCTGGTCTGAGCCTCAGTCTTTTCAGCAAACTGCACCCCCAGCCGTTCTATATTCCTGACCAGTCTCCATTGAGTGGTCCCATGTTGATTGGGGGGTGGATCAGCTGTCCATGATGTGCCCTAATATTCCCCCAGTGGGCCAGTCTCCCCCACCCCCTACACTCCAAACACTTCCCATGGGACAGGCCATGTGCCAGTCCCTTGCGATGACTCACCGGCCTCTGAGTGGCTCCTTTTTTTCGGTTGTTGTGGCTCCTCACTCCTATGTGGGTCCACTGGAACCCTGTTAGTGGTCTTGCTGGCCTGGGGGCCACCAAGGCCCTCTTCTCTCCTGCAGCCTTCGCTTCATACAAATGGCACAGCAGTGGCTTTTGCCAGCTCTTGCTCTGTGTGCTCAGCAGGGCCAGCCCTGAGATGGTCAGGGCTCCAAATGGTTAGAGCAGTCCTTTCTCTCATTGTGGCTTTTCCTGCCTTCATGAACTCCGTAGGTCTCTTCCTCTTACTCTGAGCTCTAGTGGCCCCAGTTTGGCAGTCATTGCTTTTTAATAGTTGTAAGTTGTTTGATTGTGAGAGAGGGTGATGCTGGGCACCATCTGTTCCACCATCTTGACTGTGGGTTTTTCAAAGATATCCTTTCTCAGGTTGAGATGGTCATGTGATTTTTGTCCTACATTGATTTTTACAGTGAACCAACCTTGCATTCCTGTGATAAATCTCATTCGGTATGAAATCCTTTTTATATGTTGCTGCATTAGGGTTGGTAGCATTTTGTTGATTTTTGCAATTATATTAGAAGATATTCATCTGTAATTTTCTTTTCTTGTGATATCTTTATCTGATTTTGGTTTTATACTGCCTTAGAGAAGGAGTTGCAAAGTATTCCCTTCTCTTCCATTTTTTGGTAAAGTATGTTAAGTCTACTTCAGTTTTAATAGCAGCAAAACACTTCAATCAGTGGATATAGTTGATTAATTCCTTATCTATGGATCTTTTTGTGTACACCAATGCTGCAGTGACATCATTTATGCAAAAATGTACATCTGTAAGTTTTAGGTCAAAGAATATTTACATTTTAAATTTTGACAGACATTGGTAATCGGGCTTCTAAAAAGTTACAGGCTGTTGTTTTCACTTAAACAACCTTCATTGTTATTTAAGGAAGTGTGTTGTGTGTGTGCAAATGTGTGTACCTGTGTTGCATGTATTTAAAAACAAAGTGAGATTCCTATACCAGTCAGCGTGAACAAACAAACCAATAAATTCAGAAAGTCTTTGGATCTTACCCAAACTTAAGTACTTAGATGGAGCAGGGTATGTAAAAACTCAATCTACTTCTCTCTTTTCCTCCCCACTATGTATTTAGACTTAGTGACACTCTTCCTAGCGCTTCCCAAATTTGTGGACATCTGATGAGTCCCAGGATGTTAAGTGGTGGCAGACCTCATCTGCAGTTGATAAATGGGAAAAAGGCAAGTGAGATTTGGATAGGAAAAATGGAAACAATTCAGCCTTTGCTGCCTTTACCCTTCCTGCAATAATGCCCAACAAACTCGTTTGTAGAAAAACTGAGTTCAACAGGGAAAAGCATTAGCCCCCTTTTTGTCCCTTAATGCACAGAAGCTATTCTGCTGTGCAAGAACAGGATCCTGAGTTACCTGTAGCTAGCTGTGGGATACACAGAGCAATGGGTACTCTCTATCATGAAAAGGAAGAAATACTAACATCAGAAGAAATATGTGCTTGGAGAAGTTAAACCCAAGGAAGCCAGTAGTATCAGCCAGTTTGTATCATTTTTATTACATAAAATATCAAAAAATTCAAAAGTACAATATTACTTATTTTCTTGCTTGAAGATTATATATTCTCTGATTGATTTAATATCAATCTTCACCACAGCTGCAGAAAATTAAACTGAACCTTTAGAAGGTATCGCATACGGACCTGGTTGGGGTTATAGATGACAAACTCATTGTAGTTGAGAGTATACCCCTTTGGATTCAGAACTCCTGTGTCACGTGCTGGTCCTAAGGGCACTGTACTCCCATTCCTGCCAAATGGAAGAAAGTGTGTCAACATCAGCCCCTGGTTCAGAAGTTGGAATGTAGAAAGTAGAGTCTTATCTGGTCAAAAGGAGTTTTCTGGCCCTACTGGCTGTGAGTACTTACAAGGTAACGAAGCAGACAGGACTGGGAGCCATCTTGCCCAGCCCCTTGGTGCTGTGTTTGCTCTGAAGTAATTCTTCTGCCTTAGGATTGGCCTCTAGTAGCTCATTACACTGACCTAGAGCTACCTGCAAAGCAAAAGATCTTTGAATGCCCACATCCTACAGAGAATTAGATGGCTCTAAAGCCAAACAAAAAATTCCATCAGTACTTTCTTTCCCTGCTCCAGCAGAGAAATCCAATGCAATGAAAATTGTACTTGGCTCCCCTCTCAAGTTATCCCAGGGGAACCTCTTGGTTCTGGGGTCAAACTTTTCTCACTGGAAATAATAATAATAATAATAAACTAGAGAATACAAACAAAACAAACAAATAATAAACTAGAGATCACAGATGTGTTCCTGCCTCACCTCTGATAAGAGCAGTAGTCCTATATTCTTTAGGCGAGAGGCAAAGCAGTAATTGGCACTCTTGGAAGACATGTCAGCAAAGTAGATTCCTTTTCCAAACTGAGATATATAAAAAAAAACCAAGGTCAGCTGCTTAAACCACTGTGTTAGAAAGAAGGCTCATACCACTGACCCTGTTTTTCCATTCTCTTAAACAAAGAATGGACCCTTATCCATTTCCCCTCACAATTCTGTTCAAGAGAGGGTAGAAGAATATGAATCTCTGCCTTCTAGGGGAAAGGAGAGATATCTTTAGAAATTTAAAGAGGGACACAAGAAGAGATGACACGGTTGTCAGTGAGCTGGTTTAATTCTTGAAGAAAGGTACCACCTAATCCTAATCTAGAAAAAAAAGGATTGAGAACATTACTGTATCCTTTTCCTTTGTGCTCCTCCCACAGTTCAATTTCTACTCACCATGTAACCTGTGATGGGAGCCTCAGGTGGGGCAACTCGAAGCCCATGGCTCAGGATTCCCACCCAGTTACTGAGCCTGGAACCATGCCATAGCAGCATCCTAAGGAAAAACTATTATTATTGTACTCTGTTGCTCTTCTGCAAACATAGGCCACAGCATAAAAAAGCCAACAGCTGCTTCTGCCATCCTCCACTTGTAAGTTCTATAACTGCACTGCAGGCAAGAAATGTCTTCCCAAACCCAAAGCTAGACTCAGACCTGTTATGAAGTTCCTCTCTGAAGGCTTCTTTCTCACCCTCCTTCTCCACTTCAAAAACATCCAGCAAGGTCATGGTATAGTCAGTGTGTGTGGGAGCGTGGGTAGACTGTAAGTACTGGGAAATCACCTGCGGAAAAGAATGGAAGAAATGGCCGATGTGGACTCTACAAGAGACCAGGCTGAACTGAAAAACTCAGGGCTTCTGGTACAACTTGGCAGACCTTTCTGCTCTCAAATGGTCTTATAAGGTGGTTAGAAAGAGCTCTACCTTCCCAAATTCTTAGTAAATTGAAATTTTGCCCTATTTGACAGTTTTCTCTAAACCAGAAGTAGCCAGAGAATAGTGGGATGGGGGAGAGTGGGTCCTGAGGGTCTAAGAGTATGAAAATAAATTATCACTTTTCTTACTTTGAACTCATAACTTTCATGGTCTAGAGGGCGCAAGGCACAATGTAGGTTTTTATAGTGTTGGTCCAGTGGGTGTTCTGGGCTTTGTAGCTCTGTCTTCACCAGCTTAATAGCAATTTCAATGTCTCCCAAAGCCTGAGAAGATGAGATATAGAGTCAATGTGGAAGGAGGCTGGGATAAGAGATTTACTACTTCCCAGTCCACACATAGCTCACCTCTAGTAGTTGTACTTTGTCTGACAGTTCTCTCTCTGTCCGGATTAATGGAGGGGTACGGAGTCTAAAGACAGATACATAACCCATAATGAGCTCTCTGATATATATGTGGCTACAAGGCACATGACTAAAAATAACACACCTAAAATAGGTCCTTTAGAAAATAGGTGTAAGAGGGGCCGGCCCGGTGGCGCACTGGGTAGTGCGCCGCTTGGGAAGCGCGGTGGCGCTCCCGCCCGAGGGTTCGGATCCCACATATGGACCGGCTCCCGCTCACTGGCTGAGCGAGGCGCGGGTGCGGCGCCGCGGTTTGCTATTTTTTTTCCCGCTCTTTTTTTTTTTCGGTC